AGAGCGGCAGCCATGACATAGTTGTAGAAGTTAGAGGTGGGCAAAATCCGTATAATCTATAAGGATAACCGGGATAATTCTCAATAAAACATCCGAATTCAGACTCCTATCTCTCTTTCCCGACCTGTTTGCCGAAGTGGGTGCACCCATTTGTTGAAGTTGCGCTAACCTGTTTGTCAAAGTGGTTCTAACCCATTTGCCGAAGCTGTTCATATTATCACATTATTTACTGAAGAGATGCACTAACATAATATTATCTGGATTTTGCTAAAGCGACTCATTGTCCAGCCCTAGTAGAAGTCTATGCGGCTATTTTTTGTGTTGTTTTGGTTTGTTTTCTACCTTTCACTTTGCCATTACAAGGCTCATATGATAGTAAAAATTCTTGTGTCAAAGGCAAGGGCATTTTGGGCAAAATCCCCCAAAACTGGGTGGTAAACATTGTTGATTAGCGAGATGAGGCGACGAAGTTTAAAGCGCTATTTCAGATCTTTTCTCTTCTCTGCTTTTAAACAAACTTCTTTTCTTTTTGTTTCGTTTCCTTTTCTTTCCCTTGTGTATCAGCCTTTTTAAAAACCTTCTCTGTCTCCCATCTGGTTTTTCCGTCTGTCTATCTTTACTCCGTTCCGGCACTCAAGGATTGTTATCATGTTCATGCACTGTCTTTCTGGAACAAATCTTTCCGGTTGTGAAATCCACCTAAAAGTCTTGTCTGGGGGAAAACAATGACGAGACGATTACCTGTATCCGACTGTTTATTTTTTATCTTCGACGGATAATTTTAAAAAATTTCTATTGTTATTTTCTAAAAATGTATTTCCCCACTTCACGCTGTTTCCATTGTTAGATTTCTTCTCATTTCTCTCAATATAATCTCAAGACTTTTCTTTTCTTTTTTTTCCCCCTCATCTTGACTTATTATATGTTGGGATTTTTTTTCTTTCTTCTCTTTCTTTCTTCTTTTTTTTGCTCAAGAGTTTTATGTGTCATGTTATCTGATTCAATATCTTATCGCTCCTCTCGTTATCTTATCCTATCTTTGGTATTCTATTTTTCCTCTGTGTCATCTCTTTTTAGACCTTTTTGTCAAATCTCGTGTCGTCCTGATTGATCATGCAACATTTTATTATATTTTATACAAAATATATAATATAACCTATGTGTGTTGCAAGTACCATAAAACTCTTCCTCAAACTGACCTTGGGTGGTTTTCGGGTGCTCTGGTGTGGTTTGCTTCTTCTTTCCTATCAAACACCTGTCGTCCTTATCTCCCCTTCTTATTTTTATATTTATTACTCTCTTGTAACACCTCTAATCTTCTGGCGCTCATATGACCTTATGCAGCTGCGAGTGCCGTAAAACACTTACTTAAACTAAATTCCTTATATTGTATGGCGTATTTGTGTTGCGAGTGCCATAAACTGTTAAGTTTAACACAAACTGACCTAACTCATCCCTGTTTGTCTCTCCCCCTCCCCCCTCCCTCCCTCCGCAGACGGCCAGGTGTGCTACCAGCACCAGCACGCGCGTCCCGCCATGCACCGGTCAGGATCAGTGCCCTCTGGCCACAGCCACGGCGGGATGGACGTCACTGACCACTACATGAGCAGTGGACATTCGGACACCTACCCGTACCACTGTCCCAATGTCGGGGACGGGCCGGTTATTGTGCATAACAATGACAGGTGAGTGATCGTATGTGTGTGTGTGTGTGT